TGAAATAGGGCTGCCAATCTGATGACCTCTTTTGCATATGCTGACATCCTTTCGTCTCTGGCTGCAAATTCTCCTGTTGACTGGTTAACAATAAGTTGTGAATCACAAAAAACAATTACCTCATATGCTTCTGCTGCTGCTGCCAGTTTTAGCCCTGCAATTAATGCTTCGTATTCCGTTTCATTATTTGAGGCCTTGAACCCTAAACGGATGGACTGTTCTATTATTTCTCCATCTGGAGATATCAGCAGTACTCCTGCCCCCGCTTCTTGTCGGTTCGAGCTTCCATCGACAAACAGTCTGAATGAGTCGCCGATGTAGATGCTGCAGGGTCTGAGTTTTTCCTTCCTTTGCTCTTTTGCCTTAGGCTGGGATTCTCCTTGCTTGCTGGGACAATGCTCATCCTGGCTCACCGGAGCCCGATGTTCGATGGTTTCAGGCGTGAATTCTGCCACGAAGTCGGCCAAAACTTGGCCCCTTTATTGCTGTTCTGGGCCTGAACTCCAGGTCATACTGGCCCAAGGCAACTGCCCATCTTGCTATTCTTCCTGTTAAGTCTCCTTGTTGTAACAGGGACTTCAGTGGGTGCTCTGTGAGTACCACAATCTTGTGCGCCTGAAAGTAATGGTTCAATTTTTTTGAGGCCATTACTAAGGCCAGCATTAATTTCTCTAGTGGTAGATACCTTGTTTCTGCGTCGGCCAAGGTTTTACTTACATAATAAACAGCCTTTTGTTCTCCTTGTTCTTCTCGGATTAGCACTGCACTTACTGCGTGTTCTGACACAGCTAAGTACAAAAACAGCTCTTCCCCAGGTTCAGGCGTCGAGAGGACCGGAGCCGTGGTCAGATATTTCTTTAGGTCGGCCAAAGCGGCCTCACATTCCTCAGTCCGTAGGAAGTCCATGGTCTTCTTCACCAGGTTGAAGAAGGGTTTACATTTGTCTGAGCTTCGGCTTATGAACCTGTTTAGGGCTACAGCCCTTCAGTAAGCATTTGTACCTGTTTTGTGGATGTTGGGCTCTGTAGGTCTAGGATGGCCTTGATCTGATCTGGGCTGGCCTCTATGCCCTTCCTTGTTACCAGGTACCCCAGAAATTTACCAGATCCAACTCCAAACGCGCACTTTGATGCGTTGAGTCGGAGCCGATATGTTTTGAGGATCTCGAATACCTCTTTTAGGTCGGCAAGATGACCCTTAGGCTCCTTGGTCTTCACGACCATGTCATCGACGTAGACTTCTACTGTTTGGCCGATTAGGTGTTTGAACATTTTGGTTACCAGCCTTTGGTAGGTTGCTCCTTCGTTTTTCAACCCAAAAGGCATCACTCTATAACAGTACAGGCCTTTTGGGGTGATAAACGCTGTCTTCTCTTCGTCTGCGGGGTACATGGCTATCTGGTGGTACCCCCTATAAGCATCCAGGAAACTCATCCTTCCATGTCCAGAGGTGGCGTCTACTAACTGGTCAATCTTGGGTAGAGGAAAGTAGTCTTTGGGACAAGCTTTGTTCAGGCTTGTAAAATCTACGCAGATCCGCCATTTACCGTTCTTCTTTTTTACCACTACTGTGTTGGATATCCATGTCGGGTAATGAACTTCTCGGATGGCCCTGGCCTCCAGAAGTCTGTCCACTTCTTTTTCTACTGCTTCGACGTGCATCAACGTCGGTCTTCTGGCTCGTTGAATCACAGGTTTTGCCGACCTGTCGACATTCAGTCTGTGGCAAGTGACCTCAGGGTCAATGCCAGGCATTTCGTAAGGTGTCCAGGTGAACACCTCTATGTTTGTTCTCAAAAAATCTTCCAGTTCTCTTTCCTCTTCTTCAGCTAAGCCTGAACCGAGAAGAAAGAAGCGCTCTTCGTCGCCCTCCTGGACGAGGATTTTCTTTTGTTTCTCTTCGCTCTTCTCGGCTGGTTCTTTGCTGACGTCTTCTAGTACTTCCATGTCCTCATCTTCAATTTCTGCCTCTTTTGGCTCTCGAACGCTGCAAGTAGACTTCATTGCTGCCATGGAGCAACTTTTTGCCTGCAGTTGATCTCCTTTGACTTCTTCAATCCCATGCTCTGTTGGGAACCGCAGTAGTTGATGTAATGTTGAGGGAACTGCCCCCATTGCATGCAACCATGGTCTTCCCAAGATGATGTTATGTGGTGAAGGTGTGTCAATCACCATGAATTCTGTCCTGATCTTCTTAGTGCCAGCTTGTACTTCCAAGCTTGTTGCGCCCAGTGGCCACGTCGGCGTTCCATTGAAGCCGACCATCGGGCCATTTGATTGCTCCATGTCGTCTAGGTGAAGGCCTAGCTCCTTGTAACATCTAACGTACATGATGTCACAAGAGCTGCCTTGATCTATCAGGATGCATTTCACTTGGCACTCCCCAACCTGGAGGGATACTACCAAGGCATCATTCTGCGGATGCTGGACCATCTCTAGGTCAGCTTCAGTGAAAGCTATCATCGGTCCTCAGCACTTTTCAGGCCGAGGTCTTTTATGTCCGACCTGGTTCACGTGCTGCAGGTGTTTTACTTTTTGGGTTTCTCCCCGAATGTTGCTTTCGCTTACCTTTGAGTGAATTACATTAACCACCCGTGGTCCTCCTGCCTGTGGTTGCTGTGCTGGGGGAGGCGGAGCTGCTGGTGCTTGAGGCAATCTTGCATGTTCTTCTCTTGTCCTGGCCTCATCAACAAGGTCCCTCAGATAGCCTTGCCTTACCAAGTCTTCTAAGTGTGCTTTTAGGGCTCTACAACCCTGAGTTGGGTGCCATTCTTCATTGTGGTAAGCACAACGCCTACTAACGTTTTTTCTCATAAATTCCCCTGGTGCTCTTGTTGGAGCTCTGAAATATGGTTGGTTTCGTATTTGATCCAAGACTTTGTGGATCGGGACTCGGAATATAGTTGTTACTGCCTGTTTACCCCTCAATTCCGTTTCTTGTTTGGTTGGTCCATTGTTGCCTCGGTTTCGCTTCGGCGAGCCGTTTCCTTTCTCCTGCTTTGTTTCTTTATTTCCCGATGTATCCTCCTCGGCTCTGGCGTACTTCTCTATTCTCGCCATGAGTTCTTCCATGCTTTTTGGCAATGTTTTTGCCAAAGATTTTCGTAGTGGGCAGTCATCTTTCAGGCCGTTCTTGAAGGACACGACCGCCATCTCTTGGTTGCAATCAGGTATTCGATTGAACACCTCGTAGTACCTTTTTGCATAGGCCCTAAGGCCTTCATCCTTGGCGATCTTTAAAGCCATCAGTGCGTCGACCCTCAAGGGTTGTAGTTTATTTCTTACAAACCTGGCCACAAACATTTCGGCCAGGCCTTCCGAAGTCTTTACGCTTCCCGTCGGTAGTTTATGGAACCAATCTGATGCAATTTCTCCAAAGGACGAGGGGAACACTTTGCAGAGCAACGGTTCGTTCCCACTATATAATGCCATCGAATTCAGGTATAGCCCGATGTGGAAGTTGGGATCTGTATTACTATCATATATTTGGAACCTCGGCATACTGAATCGCTTTGGTGCTTGAAATTTGTCCAGTTCCACCGAGAATAGTGTCCTCGGCTTAACCGGGGAAGTTACCTCGGCTTCAGCATTCTGTTGCCTCCTCTTGAGGTAATCTCTCAAGTCTTCTTTACTCTTTCCTGGAGCTCGGCCATCTCTGGATTTCAATCTCTTCGGCACACTACTTTCGGCCTCGTGGTGGGCTCGTTTTGATCTCTCTATGTGTTGTGTCAAAGCAAAGCGCCTGCCCTTGAACATGCCGATGTTCTTTGGGCTCTGGATCCTTCGTGTGATACATTCTTCGGGACTCCTCTCGTCTCGGCTCCTCTCGTCCGCCTTCCCTGGAAGGTCGGTGAGAGTGCCTTCCGCTCCTGGTGTGCTGAGGGACTTCGGGGATTGTTCTTCCTCTTCCCTTCTGGGTATTAGTTGCTGGCATCGGCGTATCCTGCAGTGGGTATAGTGGCTGCATGACATTATTTTGCATCATGAAGTTGACCACTGACTGTAGGTCTGCCAACTTGTTTGCCAAGTCTTTTACTTCCTCATCCCTTCGTAGGCACCTATCCCTCCATACCTGAAGGTTATCTTCGTTATAATACTTGCTTTGGTCTGTCCTCTTCGAAGCGTCGTTCTCCTGGCCGACGTCTTTCTCTCCGTGGCCCTGGCCATGAGTTTCTGTATTGTGGTTGTCTCTTTCAACATCAAGGTCAATTGGTCTACCACTCCCAGCAGGAGTGTTGCCCCTAATGTTTTCCCTATGTCCGGCAGAATAGATGACTTTAGCAAACCTGTAACAGAAAGAAAAGGCTCCGGCGGTGGCTCTTCCACCCGGGGGCACTTCGACGATCAAGTCAGTATATCTCTCAAAGATAATCAAGTGCTAAACTTATTATTCAAAGCATAAAATTGCGTACCTTAGACCCACGGGGGTGCCTCTCTTTTATAGTTTAGTCAATTCAAGTCCCACTAGAAGCCTGACTTCTATGGACTCCAATTCAGTGCTTACTTTGGATTCCTCAAGAGATAAGGATAAACTCCCTAAAAGTATTATCCTTATCTTAGCTAAGTCTCCTCTTTACTCTAGGACTCCTGTCCCTTATCTTTTATCCATTTATCTCGGATTCCGATATCTTCGGAGATAACCTCAGCCTTGCCGAGATAACCTCGGCGTCACAACCTGGACATGTGGCATCTCGGCTGACACGTCGGCGTCACCTTGCCACGTGTTGGTATTTAGAAAATACATCCCCACACTACGAATATAGTATATATCAAATTTTAAAATTAGATTAGTTAAATTGGAAGAGTTATGATTGCTTAACTCTGTATTTTTTCTTCATGTTGTTAATGAAGAAAGTATGAGATGGTTAGGTTCGTTTTGTATATATTGAAGGAATAGCCAAGATATGTCTTTCCTCTTTCCAGCTGTTAGTGTAATGGTGCAATGTATTTTTATATTTAATGGGGATACTCTAAAAAGCTCCAATTTTGTTAAAGGATGGTATGAATGATGATAAGGTGGAGAATCTTGAAGTGGAGGGTTTAAATTCAAAATTGGAATCCGAGTCAGATTCAAATGATGAAGATGAAGATGAAGATGTGAAGTTGACAGAAGCTTCAAAGAACTCCGTATACAAGAAGGATGGATTGCTTGATAAACTTGGAGACATTAGCTGGCCCTAGAATGTGGAATGGATACAAAAGCTTTCCCTTGATATTGATCAGGAGCAAGAGGTGGATGTGAATGATGACCTGGCATGGGAGCTTGCTTTCTACACACAGGCATTGGAAGGTAAAAGGCAGGCTTTTGTGAAGTTTGAGTCGATGCGGCTTCCTTTTCTCAGGCCTTCTGACTATTATGCTGAGAGGGTGAAAACTGATACTCACATGGAAAGAGTAAAGTGCCGGCTTTTGGTGGAGAAGAGAAAGATCGAGGAGGCTGAAGAGATGAGGAAGGCTTGTGATGTTTGATGAATAGATATTTTGTCTTGGCTTTAAAATTATTATGGGATTTGTTTGGTTGCTACTGTAATTGTTGCCATCGTCATTCTTATTCATATTCTTGCTTCATTTATTGCTATTTTTTGATATGCAATATCCATTGATACTGTATCTTTATATTTCACTGAATTTTGTTCATGGGACCAATTTCCATCGTTACGAGGACAATCATTAAAAAGTCGTCTCGAAAAGTAAAAAATAAGGTATTTAGCGATAATTTTTTAAAAATGTCACTAATAAATAGAGTTTTAGAGATAAAATAATTTAGTCTCAAAATAGTTTATTTTTTTAGACAAAAAATTTGGTCCCAAAAGGATAATAATTTATTACTAATGTCCAATTTTTATTACTAAAAATATAATAACGACACTTTTCGCAACAAAATTATTAGGTCCCTAAAAAATAATTTTGTCCATAAATTTTGATTTTTAAAATTTTAATTTTTTGTAGTCCAAAGAGACTTGTGTGGTTATGATTATACATATAAAGAAATAATTGAGACACTTGTGGCAAAGTTTATTTCAGATTTTTCTTTTCTCTTTATCCAGATTTCCTTAAATTTAATTCCGATTTTTCAAGTCTGGGTCTAAATTTGGCCAACTAGGTGCTGATATACTTCAAAATATAGATTTGTAACAATCCTTTCAAGTTAAGCAATTCTTTTGTGCTTAGAATTCTTGGCTCATCCTTCCACAGTCGAGTGCCAGATCACTAGTTGAGTTGTTAAGTTTTTAAGCCTTTTTACTGTAGTATAATTGTCCTATTATATTGTAAATACATAATCATGCCACCACCAGCTACCATTAATGTAAACATATAATTGTCAATTTTACAATGTCAAATCCTTGCAAATTTGTGGATCTTCCTTATTACTCATCAATTAATTTTTTTGTTTTTAATGAAAAGTAAACTTTGTAATGATGATAAATATAAAAAACTACTTAATCTATCTCAAATATAAATTTCTTCAAGCATATGATAAAAGAAAACGACTAAAAAAATAACAAAGAAAAAAAGAAAGCAACCCCCCCCCCCAGCTGGGCCCCCCCCCCCAGTTGGGTTTTATATCCCGTTGGAAAATTGATTTTTTTAATTAATTTTATAACTTTTGATAAAAATATGAACAAAAAATAAAAAGAATGATGAAATAATTTATAATGAGTTCCAGACTATAAACCCTGCATCCTAAACAATGGTTGTGTTGATAAGAATTTATTCATCTTATTAGCACGTTAACAGTTCATAAATGAGGCAAGAGTTCAATTCTTACGAGGCAAGTTATAGTTTCAATCTTTGCTGGATTTTTTTATTAAAAAAATAATAAAAAAAAATAAATAAAATTTACCAATACATGTAAAGCACCACCTAAATCACCACCTCTCTCATAATTACATTCACATGCTATGAGACCTACCGAACGAGGATGTAGTTTAGTAAGTTTTTTTTGGAAATCAAAAAATAAAAATAAAAAATCACACATTTCGTGTTAAAAAAAAAAAGAAGAAGAAGTAAAGGTAGCGTTTGGTTTATATTTAGAATTATCATTCGAGTATCAAGTTATATTTTGAATTTATAAATTTTAAAATTATGATTTGAAAAGAAAAAATTTGTTTGGTTATGAGTTTCGAAAAGAATTTTGAATTAAATTTTGAATTGAGTGTTAAATTTTTGAAATGAGTGTTGAGTTTGTGAAAAATTATCTGATTATGAGTTTTGAAAAAAGTTTTTTAAAATTTAATTCAAAAACTTATAACTTATAACCAAACACACAATTCAAAACTCTATTAAAAATTCTATTCAAAACTCATAATCAAATTCTTTTTAACATTCAATTCACAAAAAATAATTATTGAAATTTTTTTTATTTAAAATATTTAAAAAAATATTATTATTTGTTAACAAAAATATTCAGCTAGTGTTTTAAAATTACTTTTGATTGTATATTTGGTTGAAAATTTTATTTTAATTGCTTTGTTTAAAAACGTTTTTTATTTTCTAAAAATTATTGTGACAAATTAATTTTTATTAATTTTTTTTTGTTAATTTTAAATAAATGTCGAAATAATTTGTCATTTTGATCTCAAAAAAATATTTTCTCTATTTAAAAAAATATCAAAAACAAATATATATATATATATATATATGTCAGATAAACAGGTGTCAATATGCTAAAAAAAAAAAAAAAAAGAGCTCTGGTTACCAACCGGATGACCAGCCGAACGCCGGGGGAAATGTCCGGAGGGATGACCGGGTAGACCTAAAAATTCAAAAACTATCTAGGAGGATATCTGGACGGATGACCGGATAGATAAAAAATTCAAAAACTCTCTGGTTTACTAAACATGTTTTCAAAATATGTTTTGAAATTGATTTGAAATCATGATTTGAAAATTGTAATCAAACAGAAGATTGATTATTAGTGTGGAATCATGATTTGATAATTAAACCAAACACAATTTTTTTTTTGTTTTTTTTTATTATTATTTTTTTTATCTTTTCGAATTGGCGTTTTGGTGAGAAATTACTTTCTTACCTTTATAGTATTGTGGAGTCCTTATAGAGATACGATGGAATTTCTAAAAGTATTGAGGGTAAAGTTGTTTTTTGGATAAATTGCACTTTACACCCCTGCACTTTGCACCAAATCTCACATTGACCCCTACACATGAAATCATGACAGTCAAACCTCTGCACTTTTAGTCAAATCCCCACTTTGGTTCATTCACACGAAATTCTGACACTTAACCCCCTATACTTTTGGTTAAATTTCACTTTGGTCCTTATACAAATGTCAATGTCTACTTTCGGTCACTCAATTGTTTAAAATCTTTAAAAGAACTAGTCATGTGATAAGAATGTAACTACGATATAAGGGTAAAAGAGAAAAATCATTTACATTTTTTTACCAATACACACTTTATTTCAAAATTTATCAAAATATGACGGTATTAGGCCAAAAGAAAATACAGATTGTGAACAATTAAAAAGATAAATAAGGGTTTTGCATAAATTAAACTTTGTTTTCTACGGTAATACAGTCTTTTGTCTTTCTTTCTCTTTGATTTCTTTATCACATTTTTTTTTTATTTCAAAAGTTTTACTTTCTTGCCGTTTCGTTCTAATTTTTACTATACAAACATATATATGTATATATATATATTGTATTATATAACTCTTATATGTTTATCACGTAGGACAAAGTATATTGGTGAGACACATGGATGGTTTTCTTCTCTTACTCTCATTTCGTAGTCATATTTTTGTCACATAACTGAATTTATTAAAAATTTAAAAATGAAGTAATAGAGGAGGGATATTGACACTTGTCTAGGGATCAAAGTGAGATTTGAGTAAAAATGTAAGGGGTTAACTGTCATAATTTCATGTATAGGGGCTAAAATAAGAATTGGTGCAAAGTGTAATTTACCCTTATTTTTTCATTTTTTATTTTTTATAAATTTGCTAAAAAAGGCTTCTTTTTTGCTTATTTGTTTGTTTTATTTTATGTAGAAGGCACTCCAAGTAGACTTTTTGTTTAGTTCCTCCCAAACATGACTTCGGTGTCTCTGTTACTGTTGAAAAATAGAAAAGAGACACAATTATTAAAAAAATAAAAAACAAGTGAGAAGTTGCCATGTGAGATTCTTCGGTAGTTGCGAAGACCATGATTTAAATAATGAACGGAAAGCCCTATATTTTAATTGGGATGCAAGCTTCCCAAATTCGTTCACACGTAAGGGTGTAATTTTGGTCCGGGTCAGGTTTATGTTGAATCTTGCGGGTTTTTGTCAAAAAAATTGAGTCAAGCGGGCCCGGCTCACGGGTCAAAAAAATTAGGCCCAGGCCCAAGCCCAAGCCTAGGTGTAGGGATATTCAGGCTATGGACAGGCCGGTGGGTCGGGTCTTTGGGCTTGGACTTGGGCTTTAGGCGGCCTTGGGTGGGCTTAAACAAATTTTTTTTTTTTTATCAAAATTTTATTATTTTTTATTAAAAATAATACTGGGTCTCGGGTGAGCCGGGTGGACGGGGCATCGGGCCGGGCTTTTGGGCGGGCCTTGAGTGAGGCCCATGGGCAGGCCACGGGTCGGGCTTCAAAACAATGGCCCAGGCCCTGGCCCAAGGTCTCGGGCTGGGCTTGGGCTCGGGCCTTAACGGGCTGGGCCCACCTTGGCCCACGGACGGGTTTTAGGCAACTCATGAGTTGCGGGCCAAAATTACACCCCTACACATTAATCATTAAAAAAAATAAAACCATAAAATATGTCAACCATCAATCGCTTTCACACCACACCTCATTATGTATAGCCCCTTGAATAAGTAAAGATTCTCTTCTTGACTTTCCTATTTGATTCCCTACTTGGTTATTGGATTTATTTTCGGACTTAATTTTGATAATCCGAATCGTTTACATTTTAGAACTTGTCACGTACATTATACTTGCAAGAAATTACGTCGATCAGATATCAAAAATCACGTGAACTAAAAGTTTTATTAAACAATAAAATTGTTTATTAATTTTTTTTTAATAAATGATTTTTAGTTCTTTTGATATTCGATCAATTTGATTTTTTACAAGTATGATGTACATTGACAAATTTTAAACTGTGAACGGTTCGGATCATCAAAATTTAACCCAAAAATGAATCATAACCCATCAAATAAGAAGTCAAGTAAAAAGTGAAGCAGGGATATTGCTCCCTACAAAAAAAAAAAAAAACTTTCACAACACTCTTTTAAAAAAAAAAAAACGTTATATAAAGCCTTGATACTTCCCACTCTGGAGAAACATCAACCATCTCTCTCTCTCTCCTTCCTTTGTTCCGGTTCTTCAAAAATTTCTCCTGATCTTTCTCTATCACAAATCATGTTAGATTCCACAATTGAGTTGATCAGTTTGGCCGCCTTTCTCTATCACAAATCATGTTAGATTCCACAATTGAGTTGATCAGTTTGGCCGCTTCTAATTCTA